CTTAGCTCAGTTGTTGTTACAGCTGGGTCTTAACAGGCCCTCTTTGGTCATACTGATGCCCGTCAACATCCCAGACGATAAATGCTGTTAAATCACCATACACACTGCCTACTGTAACAGTGATTATATGGTAGGAAATAGGATCTGATTCCTAATGGTTAAAATTTGGCACTTCATTCACTTTAGCTCAAGTTCAACCTCTGGGACGTCCATGACTCCATCTTGTCGATTTGGAGGAGGCACCTTTTGTGTTCTAGCATTTCGTCCACACCACAGATGTGGCTGTTGCTTCCTTTCGTGGCTCACTGCACTTGTGCTGTTTCCCTAACTGAGGACTCTGAGCTTCCGAGGAACAGGGATCATTTCTTGCTGGGAGGTGGTGCAGGCGCAGAGAACACGGACTGGCCCGAGTTCAAATCTGTGCCCTGCTGTTTACTGATAGACGTTGAATAACTTAGCCTCTCTGTAGAAAGCATTATGCTAAGTGAAAGACACAGCAACACTTCCTGGAGTGTTTGTTCTGATGTTTAAATGAAGAAACACGTGCGAATGATGAAGCACTGTGCCTGCCAAGCGCTAAGTTAGCGTCTTCTCTCGCGCCCTCCCCCTCCTTAGCTGTGTGTGGCAGCACTCAGTGCCGTGTTTGCGCACAGTAGGTACGCAGTGTTTCTTGAATTTATGCTCATTAAATTAGAGAAGGACTCACTTTTTCTAGAGTATCTATGTTCTTGAAAGTGAAGAGTTTTATTAATTACATGAAAAATATTTCTATTTTGCATATAAGGAAACAAAAAGGGCTTATTTCTTTTTCTTATACTAACAATTATGTTTCATGCTTTTGCTCCATCTTTCCCATTCTGCAGCAGCCAAACTCAGAGGGTTCTTCGGATTCTGCCACGCTGCCCAGACTGGAAGAATTCTGCATCCCTCTCATCCAGTCACAGCAGTCGGCAGAAGGGGGCCAGTTTGAACCTGACAACATTCAGACTCAGCCAAATCAAATTCAGCTGTCCACAGCAGCCCGAGATTCAACTCCTGTAGCGGTTGATCCCCCAGAAAGACAGTCTGTTTCTGGTAGGTTTACGCTTATCGCATGTGCTCACAATTGACAAATACGATGGTTTGGTGTGTTGCTAAAAACCTTCATTTATCTCTTCTATCCCTTCATTTATCCCTTGAAAGATGGCTGACTTTAGCATTTGTCTTAAGACCTCATGTTTGGACTCAGTTGTTCTCTAACTTTGTGCTCTTCTTTTTTTCCTGCAATTTTTTGGGGAGTTCACATTTTTATAGAGTAAAACTTGCCAGTTTTCAAGTGTAGAATTGAGTTTTGACAAATGTGTACAGTCTTCTAACCGCCGCCACAATCATGATACAGAACGTTTTATCAGTCCGAAAGTTTCCTTGTGCCCCTTGAGGTCAATCCATTTGCTAACTTGCTGGTCTCTGGCATGCCATTTCCCCTTTTCTAGAATTTCATATAAATGGAATCATGTAGTATATAGTTTTAATGTCTGTCTTCTTCCAATTACCATGATATTTTAGAGTTTCATTTATGTTGTTGCCAGTATCAAAGATTTCTTCCTATTTATTGCTGAGCAGTGTTCAGTGTATGGATATACCGCAATTTACCTGCTCACCAGTTGATGGACGTCCGGGTTGTTTGCACATTTTGGCCATTATGAATAAAGCTTCTGTGAACATTTGCACACAGCTCTGTGTATAGACATGTTTTTATTTCTGTTTAATATATACCTAGGAATGTATTTGCTGGGTCATATGGTAACTGCATGTCTAACTTTAAGAAACTGCCAAAATGTTTTCCAAAGGTGCTGTACCATTTTGCATCCCCACTAGCAAGGTATAAAAGTTCCAGTTGTTCCACATCCTTGCCAACAGACGGTATTGTCAGTCTTTTTTAATTTTGTCAAGCTAGTGGGTATGTAGTGGTATGTTATGGTAGTTTTGATTTGCATTTTCCGTTTACCATGATGTTCACCATCTTTTTCATGTGCCTATTTGCTAGTCATCTGTCTTCTTTAGTTAAATGCCTATTCTTTAGTTAAATGCCTATTTTTGAATTGGGTTAT